ACTTAAGACCTGAAACCATAAAATATATAGAAGGAAATATAGGTGAAACACTACATGATATGCACTTCAAAGACATCTTTACAGACACATCACCCAAAGCAGGGATAGTGAAGGCAAAGATAAGCAGCTGGGACAACATCAAATTCAAGAGCTTCTGCACAGCAAAAGAGACAATAACAAAAACAAAGAGAAACCCCACCAACTGGGAGAATATTTTTGCACACAACACTAATGATAAATGACTGATCACAAAAATCTACAAAGAGCTGATGAGACGCAACACAAACAAAGAAAATAATCCAGTCAAAAAATGGGCAGAAGAGCTAAAAAGTAACTTCTCTGAAGAAGAAATGCAAATGGCCAACAGGTATATGAAACTACCATGAGATACCATCAAATCAAAACTACCATGAGATACCATCTTACACCAGTGAGAATGGCACATATTAAAAAAACTAGCAACAACAAATGTTGGCGAGTTTTTGGAGAAAAAGGAACTCTCCTGCATTGCTGGTGGGAGTGCAAACTGGTCCAACCACTATGGAGAGCTGTGTGGAGATTTCTTGACCTACTAAACATAGAGCTTCCATATGATCCAGCAATTCCACTCCTAGGTATTTACCCAAAGGACACAGAAACATCAATTCCAGAGAGCACCTGCACCCCTGTATTTATAGCAGCACTATTTACAATAGCTAAGCTTTGGAAACAACCCAAATGCCCAAAAATAGATGACTGGATCAAGAAGATGTGGTACATATACACCATGTAATATTACTCAGCATTCAAAAAAGATAAACACATGCAATTTGCAGCAACATGGATGGAGCTGGAAGGGATCATGCTCAGCGAAATAAGCCAGAAAGAAAAAGAAAAATACCAGATGGTCTCACTCATAGCAGGAATCTAGAAAACTTAAATAAGGGACCAGGAAAAAGAATATACAAAAGAAAATATTAAAATCAACAAACAACTATGAGCCACAGACACTCTATGGGGGATGGGGGGCAGAGAAAGGAGGACTTGGGGTCAAAATAAGGGGGTTGTAATTGTATGGGGAATATAAAAAATAAAATTTAAATAAAATGTGAAAAAAAATGAACGAAGTAAAATATATATAAATAAATAATAAATAATTTTTTTTAAAAGGCTGAGGTGAAAGCTTATAGCCGCGTGTCCGTATTATATGCAAAAGTTTATCGTGGGTGAAGCGTCTATGTGGATATCTGTCACTTCTGGGTGGTCCACTAAGGCACATCACAGTCTTAAAATTCTCACCCCTTGTACCAAGAACATCCTGAGGATGCAATGTCCTCGGCTCCCACCTGCAGCCTGGGCACCTGATGTTCTGGAGAGCAGGAACTGGGTGATTTTCTTGACATTTCAGCATGGAAATCACAGGGTTTTCATGTGCCTATAGGGGTCAAGTGTCTAGGGGATGGCGCAGAATTGGTTGATTTAGGCTCTGAGCTCAGAATTTTTCAGCTCCTGTCCATCCTCTGGAGTAGGGGCTCAGTGAGTGGGCTAAGTTGGCATACACAGGTATACAACATAAACTTTTAACCCTCCATGGGATCATACTATATAGGTAGATTTCTGCAATTTGATTTTCTCACATAATGTTTTCAAGACCTTACCCATAGCGATACTTCAATTTTTATGATTAGATATATTTTACATGGAGAGTCCTCAGACTACTACTATATATAAAATATAGATATATTATATGATATATATCATATGTCATATATATATATATAAACCCTTCTTTAAGTGGCTTGATCGTTTCTAGAATACAGTAACCTAATTTGGTCAATTTTCTAATTGACAGACATTGGTTTTCCTTACTTACTGCTTTCTTAAATCTCTCAAACAACTAACTTTATGCACATTTCTCTGAAGGGGGTTGCCAGTCTGGAGATTATACATAGTGAAATGACACATATGGCCAAATTATTTAATTACTTTCTCTTTTAAAGTAGAGTTAAGCCATTTCTCATCCTCGACAAAAGTGTTGTCTGAATCCTCAGCAACACTGGCTATCATCTTAGAAAAAAAACAGCCCCTGCTGTTTCCGCATGCTGTGATTATTTCATTTCTTCTTCTACTTTTATTTGTGTGGGGTTTTTTCTTAAATTTCCATGCACTCAAATTAATTTTTCTTAATCAATAGCATTATGTCTGCCTAGGAATAGCTTTCATATCTCATTTTGAAATCTACTGTATCCATGTTTTCTTGAAATGCCTGTTTTTATTTTCTTTTTGCTGTTATATAAAATGGTGAATTAAGTAGATATTTTATCTCCAAGCTCTTCAAAGACTATTACAAACACAAATATAGTTTCACCAAATTAAGTCAAAGGCATGTAATCAAAGTAAAACTTTCAACATTAAGGTATATTTAGGTAGTAATATTTTAAAGTTACTTTGTTGTTAACCATTGGCAATGTTCTATCGGTCACAATTGGTTTTTTTAAAGTTTTATTTGAAAATTTATTTATGCATACAAGAACTGGGGTATAGGCCAGAGGTGTGGGGTAGGGGATGAGAGGATTCACCAGAGACAGAGTGGGGAGCAGAACAGGTGGATTGACTGAAATGCACTGCTGAGGTGAGCAGTGGGCAAGACAGGAGAGGTCTTCTCGCCATATGGGTCTCCTCCCTGACTGGGGATTGAACTCATGCTGCAGTGGCTGCTCATAACTTCATAGTACTGAGACTTAATCTTGCACCACGAGAGAGGCCCCAATATTTTTAAAGTACAACCACAACTGTAAAATTAAGGCACTTAAAAAATTAAAAAATCTGCTTCATACACAGGATGGGGCAATTTGTTACACAACATTAATCTTTTCAACAAGTTTGCTAAGAAACAGTTCCTATGTTTAATGTTAAAAGTAATGTTAAAACAATCTCACTTAGAAAAATCAAGGTATCACTTAATGAATAAAGCTTATTGTCCCCTGCGACTTTATATTTTCAGATCTTCATTTAGAAATTGTGAATTCATGAGAAAAAAAATGAATTTTGCTATAAAAACCCAAGGAAGAATAACAGTGATTAAAATGTTTCCTTTCCAAAATGTAAATACCCGTAAAAAAAGACATACATAATATTCCAGGTATTCAACACCAGAAATTCACTTATGAAAGAGGTGCATTTTGGTTATTTGATGGTAAGGTGTTTTTTTAAGTATAAAGTACTTTATCCAGGCCATTACTTAAGTCTACAGCTTCACCCACTTTGAGAGTACAAACTTATCAATTTGTGTAGAACTTTGAGCCAGATCACAGGAAAGGTCTGAAATATATGTCATCTGGTTAGAAAAACTTGAGACTTGCAGACACTCATTTTTTACTTTGTGCTTGACAGCATTCCTCAGCCATCTTCTAGCCTTGTCTTCAGCATAAGCCCAGCATAAATCTGGGCTTGCTGAATGAGTTACTTTGTGGTGGGCATTCTTGCAGGTGTTCTGCATACAGTACAGTGGAAGCTCTGCAGTCACCTCAAAGACACTTATGGTTTTTATGCCAGACTCCAGCTTGAGCTGCACCACTTGGCACTGGATGCTCACGCTGGTACTGGAAGACAAGGCAGTGGGACTGGGTTGACAGGGCAGGTGAGCTGGGATAGCCCCCTGTATGGGGGCTTGTTTTTATTTTTATAATATCTAAGACTATGAGTCATCAGGAATTTATTTTTTAAAATATTTTATTTATTTTTGCATAGAACTGGGGTGTGGACCATAGATGCGGGGGCTGAGAGAATTCACCAGAGATGGAATGGGGAGCAGAACAGGCTGATCTACTGAAATGCACTATTGAAGGGAGCAGAGGGTGAGACAGGAGAGGTCTGCTGAGCCATGTGGGTAGCTCCCTGGTTGGTTTCCAGGTGCTATTGGGGTTCTAGTGTAACAGGGTGGTCCCCAGGAAAATTTTGGGCAGATTCCAGGTTCCATGCCCCACCCAAGGGAGGGTGGAGCTGAGAAGGGAAAAGAAGCTGGAGAGGAGACTGGAGAAGGAAGGATGCAGGGTGAGAAGCAAGAAGATCTGAGAAAGCACATGAAACAGAGACATGTGAAGAAGCTGCACTTGCTACTTGGTCCTGGACTGGTTGAACCAGATGTGGGTGAGAGACCTGTGGGGAGGTTAACAATGGCAGCTTTTATCTTGATTTTGATTTTGCTCTTTTCTTCCCAGACTTGTCTATTTCTGACCCTTTTCTATGGGTCCCGTTGGAAGGTGCTTTAGACAATGTGGCAGGCTTTCGGGCCTTGCTTTGGGCCAACCCTGTTTGGCTAGTCATTTACCAACGAGGGGTTGGGGGATGGGTAACTTTAGGTGCTTGATTTGGAAACTATATTCTTGTCTTTTCTGTATTGTACCCTAACTGTATTAAAGTTCCTTTCCAGGGCCTCCCCTGGTGGCGCAGCGGTCGAGCGCTGGGCTGAGAGGCTGCCCACAGCCTCTGCAGCACCAGTTCATTCCCAGCCGCCGGCGAGGGTCCCACCAAAAAAAAAAAAAAAAAAAAAAAAAGTTCCTTTCCATTAAAGGTCTTATATGTTTTGTCTTGATGCAGTGGATGGCAGACCTATTTAGAGCAAGCAGGTTTGAAAGTTCTGGTGTGCCCCTCTTTCTGTCCTGTGACACCAGCTTAGCGAAACCAGTAGGACACATTCACCAATTTCTCTCTCTTTCTCCCTGAGTTATTCCTCTCTTTGTTTCCCCTTTTGTAAATAAACCCTTTATTAACCTTGTTTGTATGTGCCTGCAGTTGAGCCTCACTTTAAGTGCTTTTTTTTCTTAAGTCCTTTTTACGCACAAGGGTGAGGACCCACACTCAGGCCAACCCATTTCACATTGGGGTTGCCCTGTCACAGTAATACCTATCTTAGATGTGACTACCAAAATTATAAGCCAAATTTCTTTAACTATTTTACCAGATTTTCAAGGTGACGACAATAATATTCTCTCATTTGGCAAATACCACTTTAAAAAAAAAAGATTTATTTATTTATACAAGCACTGGGTACAGTCAGAAGCGCGGGAGAGTGAGAGAATTCACCAGAGCCAGAGGGGAGAGCAGAGCAGGCAGACTGACAAAGTACTCTGCTGAGGGGAGCAGTGGGCGGCAGGAGAGGTCTGTGCGCCATGTGGGAACCTTGCCCGACGGCTGGGGATTGAACCAGCGCTGCTTTGCAGCCCAGTGCTCAACCGCTGAGCCACTGGGGAGGCTGGGGAGGCCCAATACCACTTTTTAACAACAACAAAACTGGTGCAAATATAGAACTTTATTTTTATTTATTAATAAAGTAAATCATTATGATTAAAGTTTAAAAATATTCAGCCTTCATGTTAATATAGATTAAGCCACCCAAAAGACAAAGCAGAATTAACATTAAGTCATGGTCCAGGATTATACTTATGAGAAACAAATACAAGATTATGGAACTTGATAAGTAAAGACAATCAAAGTAAACTGTATTTCAAATTTGTTTATATAAAAACATATTAAAGATCACTTTAAAATAGCATCAATCTTTTCTTTTAAATGGGCATAGCCTCATCTGCAGCATGTACAAATATAATAAACTTAATAGTTTTCTTAATCTTTAAATAGAAATACAACTCCTTGCTTCTTTATGCAACCCAACAAAATAATATAAAGCGAAGTCATTAGAAAAATATGAACCTTTCTGAATCTATATTGCATTTTGAATTCAGATTGGAAAATACAGTTCAGTTCATATGAAACACGTGGATCAGGTTCATATATTATCTGTGTATTACAGACTATTAGATATGGTTTTTTTTGGCTGAAATGCAAAAATATGAGTAATTTCTTAATAATAGATTAGTTAAAAATACTTTCCATTGGTAAGTACTAGTCCTAGGACAAAATATAAGTGAAACCTATTTGTGGTCACTGTCTACTCAGTGCCCCAAATATGCATACCCTAACACTAAGCCCAAAAATACATTTGCTTTGAAGATTACTGAATGGAAATCTTACATGTTTGATAATGTTTAATTTAAACAATGCTGTAAACATAGTCAAAAATCTGCTTCCTAAAAAAAATTCAAGTAAACATTGCATATTTGATTTAAACTTTACAAGTTATGAAACATTTGATCATAACCACATAATATGTAAAAATATTTTTAAAAAATCATCTGCAAGAAATGGTGAAACTAAATCTTGTAAATGTGTTCATGTTTACTAGCTACATACTGCAACTGCTATTTGGTTTGGCATAATGATACGGGTAACAGGCCTCAGATTCTGAATGTTCAAGTAAATTTGTACCCCGTTAAAACAAATTTCTGGTATAATTTGTTTTTAACGGCAATGGTAAGACCTGAAATTCAACTACATTTTCCTTAAATATCACCATACATGTTTTGAAGGAGTGAAGATAAGTACTTCTTATAAATATTGACAGAGCTTCATTTTGATCTTTTTTCCCCAAAGAGTTGACAGCACTAATACCCTTGAAATACCAAAGAGGCAGCAGCCTTTTTCTGATTCCCATACCATGTATAGGCCTCTGCTGAATGGTCACTACTATGATTAAAGAAAATCAGTCCAATATTATTTAGAATGTGGCAAAATGTTGGCCATAAATGAAACTGAATTGGGCTCTGCCCACTCAGAGGAGGAAGTTTTTCCAATTCCTACAAAGGCCATTGTGGGCCTGTGGGGGTCCACTGAAGTGGCTTAAGTAAAAGACTATAAACTGAATGTATCTGAAAATGTATTTACTATGTTAATAAAGATAATGTTAAATATAGAAATTAACATATCTGAGAAAGATTACCACAAAAGTACTTGACTAGGTTAAGGGGGGGAAATTATGTTTCCTCAGTTGTTAATTAGGTGCATGCAAATTCTTTGATCTAAATGTACAAGTATCACAAAAAGGATTGAGAGCATTTCTGAAAGTAGTCAAGTAAGTTTAGACAATTACTATTTCTTTATAATATGCAGACTGCCAAACTGAAGTGTTACTTTTGGTTGGAAATTGATACCCCTTAATTCTGTTACTGAAAAATTTTCTAAAATCAAGATTATTAAGACTACACAGTAGACATAAAAGTAGATGAATCCATAATATAGTATTCCAAACCATATTTTCAATACTATTACATAGTATTTCAAACTATATTTAAACTATATTTAACTCATTCCTTTGGTTCAGAGGGGGAAAAATGTTACTTCCTTTTAAAATTTAGTATTAGCCAATGGGATTGGACAAATCCTAGAAATTATAAACTTGGAATAGCTGCTATAAAATTTATGTTACATTAGAAAATTATGGAGCTAATTTGGTGTATAGAATGTACTCCAAAAATATCTGTTTGGATCAATCAATATTTTTCAAAATTTGGAATTGGAGAATGACAGAAGTCATTCAGTCCAACTCATTCTTAACATCCCCTTCTTCCTAATCCCATTTTATAGACAGGGAAACTATAACTGTTGATATTTATAGATAACTGGTTAAGATTGATCTCTATCAATTAATGGAAGCAATCATTTTGATTAGTGTGTGCATTTGACTAAACAGTACAAATAAGGAGTAATATTTCTACATTTCTCCTTTATAGAATATTTTTCTTTATAACTAATGCAACAATTCCCCCTTACCTAGACTGGATTTCAAAAAGTAAAAGGAGGTATGTGTCTAAGGTAGAAAGGGGTTACTGTTAGGAAGTTAGATTTTAAGCTCAGCATTAAGAGTACAATCCACCTCTCAGCAATGGGAAATTTTAAATGACTACTCAGAATTTCCTTCCTAAGAGCAGTATTATGCTAAGTAGTTTTACCCTAGTTCAAATTTCATTTTAAGTCACTGTTTAAGCTATACAGAATTACTGTAAAAAGTTTCAAGATGATTTTTAGTCATTATGTAAATTGAAATTTGAAAGTTAACTTAAGTTGCATTCTAAATACCTTAGGACTGAAAATATCTTGTATAGCCTGCTTATCTTTCTGGTTTTTCACTTCTCTAGACACTTCCACCTACTCCTACTGTGTCCAAGAGCACATGTACCTTGTGTTTTCCTGCTCATGTAAATACCCATGAAAGTTGAATAAAAAAGTAATTTAATAAAGCAGAGAATGAAAGATATTTTTTATACTAGCTAAGATGGGCACAACACTACATTGCATGGTTGTATTAATGCTTATAACTAAGCCTTCAATGAATTATACAAATGTGCTCCTTGTTTTAAATTGTTATATTTAAATATCTGAATACTTCTGAGTGTTATTTTATAGCCAATAAAAAAATCTTTATTATTAAAAATGTTATAAAGTATAAAACAGTAATTATAAATGAATAACATCCAATTTTTAAAAAAGCAATTATTTTCTTTTTCTTTTTACACAGTACTAGCGACAGTCATTTTGCTATTATTATTCACTTTCAACCGCCATACTACTCTTGATGTACTTAAAACAAGTTTGTAGCTTGTGTTTCTACAGAGAAAATTTATGTGGATACTAAGAAACAACTCTAATAATGTAACTCAGGTATCAAAAAATAAGTATGCCATGTTAACATGTGATTTGGTAGCTCATATTACAGCATCTTATATCATGTTATTTCCAAAGTAAAATGAAGTCATTTTTGTAGCTGTAAGCCAATGTTGCATGAATGGGCATTAAGATTAAGGCATCTCCCTGCTCCTGCAGTAGTACTCTGTGGCTCCAGCGATCTGCACAAAGGCTTCCATTTAAAAAAAATATCTCTCTCTCTCTATTTATCTTCTGTTATACTTCAATTTAATTCCATTGGTTATTTTCTTGCAAATAAAACTGAAAATATCAGTCAGTAATGCTTTCATATACCTATAAAAACAGAAAAAATTGAATTATTGGTTAAAACTTGATTTCGTATTTCTGAAAATAAGACATTAATTAATTAGTCCTGTGGGTTAAGGTATAGAGCTGCTAATATAACAAGACAGAAAAATAAATCATACAACTAAAATTGTAACAATAAGGATTTTTATAAGTAGTAAATACAGGGTTTCACCGACTCCTCCTGAAGCAATCCATAGAACACTGTAACTCAAGAGAGGCAGATTCCAATAGTTCTCACTTAATGTCAACTTTGACGTAATGTGAGGAGACATCTTGCCCATACCTTTCTAAGCCTGCTATCCAATGTGGACAAGTACCCACAGCAATAGTCACAGGAACTTAAGTTCTCAATAATCAGAGCATCAGCTATTATCTGCTCATATTAAGAAGAAATGTAGACTCAGGACCGAGGACTGCTACCTGAAGACCAGTTGCTATCCCAGTTTTCAGCAGCACTGATTGTGACACATGATTATATCATGCAGTTTCTACTTCTTGTCTTCAGACCCCAGCCTGTTTGCTTTGATGGCTGAGCCCTACCCAAGATGCCTCTGTTTTGATTCTGTCTTGTTTTAGGTTCTGGTTTTAACTCTGGACATCAACTACATAGATTGAATACTAAGGACAAACACTGGATAAAGAAGCAGATGCTCCCCAGTTCCCAAGCTGACACTCAGATAAGAATCCTTTGGAAAAAATGAACTCCAGACACAGAGAAACTAAGCTAAAAAATGTGTATTGTGTTTAAGCTGCTAAATTTGTGGTAGTGTGTTACACAGCAATAAGCAACCAATATGCACTATAAGCAGGCTATCAAAAAGTCTAATAGCTTGTAAGATGCTACTGAACCACTGAACTTAGCACTTGACTTACATTTAGACAGTGGACGTCTGTTTTTTAAGCATTGTGAGAAAGTTAGTTGACATCTGTTTTGTTCAACTTCAGCAAAACAGTACCTTCACTGCTTTATACTACTGTTTATACTTATCTGTCTGGAATGTTTTCTATTGCTAAATAAATTTCCTCTGGTTTTTGTGTCTGGGCACACAGAAAAAGAATAGTTTATCAATGTACTTTGCCAGGGTATATTGCTCTTTTACAAACTAACATCAATAATTCTTTTCTTTATTTTCAGTCTTTAAAATTAGCCACTTTTGATCATTTTTTTTTAATAGTGGGCAGTTTTAATTAATAAAGAACTCTTCACTGTAGAGGTTAGTTTTCCATATGCCAATTCTAAGCAACTTACTGATTTCTTCACTCATCTACCTATAAATATTTACTAAAATTATGTCTGGAGTGCTAAGAAAAACGGGACTTAGGCACATGCTATTTTCCAATCTCTCAAGAACTACCTAGTTTTGTTGATGTAATTGAAAAAAGTAAAAAAAAAAAAAACCTGTTTTGAGATTAAGGAATATGCAAATAAACTGCATTTGTTCAAGGAAATTACCTTCACACTGTCTTACCTTGCTCTTATTCAAATGGTTACTTATGAACAAGTGGTACTCAATTTTCTATTGCCACTGTAACATGGTTATTTGTCCCTGTAAGCACACAATTACATATATGATAAAAAAAGGAAGTATTAAATTTCTGACTAAAAGTAAAATCAATGACAGCAGTAAAAGCAATTCTTACGAAAAAATAATTTTAAAGCTGCCAAAAGAATAATTTTAAAGCTGCTAGAAGAAAAAAGTCAGAAATTCTGACAGGAAGTTTCTAAGTTTTAGGGTTTTTCCGAGGGTTAGTACACATTAATTTGAATGTCCAAGCCAATTTTTTACAGTGCAAGAAGACAAAGACAAAGTTGTTACTATTATTACTAAGAACTAGAACAGATATATATTTATAATGCTTGGAAGGGGCCACCTATACTATAACCCCAGGTCTGATTAAAAACCCATTTCTATCTTATCAACTGTTCTATAATGCAGCCATAATTCATTGAATGATTAAGCATCAACAAGAAAGGGTTAAAATATATCTACAATGCACTCTTTCTATACTAAAGCAGCAAAGAGTACAATGTATTTCAAAAATTACTTACAAATAAGCAAAAGCCAGGATCCTAATGAATAACTTTATTTAAAGGTTATACAGACTAGCCAATGGCCAAAGAACTTTCCACATTTGAGGCAAAGAAGTAAGTGACTGGGAAACAAAAAACTAAAATAAAACAAACCCAGCTGTGAACAGAACAAAACCTTAGCAGTTACTACACTTTTTTCCTGAAACCCCTTCTCCATAAAAACTACCAATAACACTAATACCTCATATATAAGATACCTTGTGAAATATTTTATGTCTTAGGATTTAAAAATATCACATTATCTTTTTCACATTTATTAAATGTGGTGATTGAAATTTTAAACAGATGAAGCAATGTTTCATATTATAAGAATTACCTGATCTGACAATGCCTTCTTCAGATCCATTCTCTATCCATTGAGATTCATTGTCCAATAGACGGTTTTTTGATTCACTAAGTGGTTTGATAGGAAAGGGTTGATTTGGGCCAATACTGAAAAAAGGAGCAAATAATTTAGTATACAGCTTAATGCTTAATTAAGAATACTTAATTAATAAGCGGCAAATTAGTATTCCTTCTCCTAAATATGTGAGGGCAACTCATGAGATCGCAGCACTATGAAAAAAAAAACCACTATCTTCAAAAGAAAAATATGCCCCACCCCACCCTCCCCATTAAAAATTTTAAAGTTCTCTAGACCCAATAATCTGTACTCCAACACTGTCAATTAAAACAATTAGACAAAAGGAAAATGCTTCAGAGGCCAGTCTGAAATGCTTTTAACATGTTAATTGAGAGCCATATGTAGCACAAAGACAGGTGAGGATCTATGTCTGTGGCCAGGACAAAAAAATTACCTGTCATTTCCCAAGTTTTCTGCTTTCTACCTCTGCAGTTTAGATCTAAGGGGAAAAAATGATTTAGTGATTTAGCGTAGACTTATTTTTCTAGCTAAGAGATCCAGGGAAGGAGGGAATAGAGGAAGGAAAGGAAGAAAAGGGAACTAACTCTTGTTGTGTACCTAGATAATGGGCCAGTCACTGTGCTAGGCACTTAATACACATTATCTCAATCTGCACAATTACTCTTAGAGGTAGGCATGACAATTCTCATTTTACAGAGCTGGAAACTGATGTTCAGGTTAAATGACTTGTTCAGACCCACAAAAATATTAGTGCTAGAATGTCATTTTTTTAAGGCTTTATTTAAGCTTTATTTAAGCTGAAGGCTTTATTTAAGCTTTAAATTCTAAGGAAGGCCTATATTCTTCAGATGTTAATATGCTTCCTTGGAATTTATAATCCGTCCTCTGCCACAATTTATTTCTGTAGTAAGTTTCAACTGTTCCACTTTAACAGAAACATCCCTATCTCTCTCGAAATTTCATTTAATATGAATTATTCCTCTGAATTTATGAATCAATTTGCTTGGCATGCCTGCAAATGCTGAGAAAATGTTTTCTGTGATAAATGAGAAAAAATTTATATTTATATCTTTCACTAATATTTTTACAGTGTAGTTAAAATCTGTTTATCAACATAAAATGGTTAGTGTTACTATGACTAATTTCTTTGAAAAAAATGTAATTGATAAAAGTCAAAATGATGAAATATTAAAATGCTGTTTAGTTTCTAGGAGGATACAGCATATTTAGGGTAGTCATGCTTCCGAATTTGTCCAGACATTTCTAGTTAAATGTGATTGTCCTGACTCAACTATTAGTAGCAAGCTTTCTCTTTCTTACTCTCAAGTGTTCTGGCTTAGATGATAAAAAATAAGGTTCTTTTAAGCACACTGGGTATAAAACACATTAACCCTCAAGTGAAAAAATTTAAATAGAAGTTCTCTTTTCTATTTGTGCTGTCTTACTAAATTACTACTGTATTTATCTATAAGCTATGCACATATAACACACACACACAGTTTGCTTTATAATGATATTGAAAATCTAATGACAAGAAGCATACCTTCTGGCATATTCATTCTGGTTTGTAACAGAAGCTTGTTCTGGATCCATCCCCACAAGGCGAGTTGGAAAACTGCAACCATCACCCAAGCTACATGATGAAAAATATCAGTAGCAATTTAAATCATGTCAAGTTAAGTGAAAGAGGGTAAATTTAAAACCCATTATTCAAAGATATAGCATAAGGAAATTATCATAACTTGTTATTTCAGAAGATAATTCTAAGGAAGTAAGCCTTTCTTTAATAATTTATATATATTAATATTTAAAACTATATCTTCCATGACTCTTAAGATCATGATCCCAATTAAGATATAACCTAAAACATAGGTATTCAAATTATGTGGGCAACTGATCTATTTATGATCATTTTAGACATCATATAGAAATTTAATATGTAAAGCCCACATATGTATTCATCCAACAATATTCAATAAACAAAGTATTTACTAAATGGCTATGATGTTTGGGGTTCTATTTTAAGTGCTAAGGAACAAAAGGGAAGAAAATTTCTAAAAAAAAAGCATAGTTACACTTTCATATTCTAAAAACATCAAAATTACGTATAATAGAATCTTTTACTTCCAGGCAAGATGGATTAACTGATAAATTTGACGTATAGTAAACAACCAGAAAAATGAGCAGTATGTAAAAAAAAAAAAACCAAACAAAAAAAACAACTTTCAAAGCAGGCAGCACAAAACTGTTGTCTCTGAAAAAAGAGAAATAAACCAAATGAGTACCAATTTTCTGCCAGGGCCTGAGAAGTGCGAGGAGAAACAGAGCAAGGTAGTCTCACTGAATTGAGATGATGGAGATAGGAGTTTGGAGAAGCTGAAGTAGCCTGCTCTATCAGAGGGAGTTGAAGAGGAGAGAAATGCAGAGAAAGTGCTATAGAAATCTATACAGGGTTTTACTTGAGTTTTTTGATAGTGAATTACACATGTGAATCTGGGACAAGAACAACTGGAAAGTACAAGCTGAACAATTCACAGAGCTCATAGAGCACCAGAAAAGCATTCAAATTTCACCAGTCAGGGTGAGATGATTTTGCTGAACACACTGGAGACACCAGCAAGCTCTACCCTTTGTTGTAAAGCTAAGCTTTCCCTAAAGAAAATACTACTTTTTTACTAACACAGCTTAAAACAAGCCTCAAAGGACCAAGCTGAAACAAAAACTGTCTGCTAAAACAAAATCCAGCATTCTTTAAAGGGAAACAACAAAGACTTAGAATGACTGTGAAAATTTAAAACAAGGACTTTAAAAGTGATCTTAATATGGAATTTAAAAAGTAAAACAGATAAAATGAAAAGTGAAACATAAGATTAAAAAAACCAATTTATCTTTTAGAGCTGAAAAATGTAATACCTGAAATACAAAATTTACTGGGTAAGTTTTAGTGGACTAGAAATTAAAGAAAAAGAGATCAGTGAATTTGCTGATACAACAATAGAAATTATCCAAACTGAAGCAAAGAGAGAAAGATTGGGGGAGGGAGGAAACAGTAAGGCACAGAACAGTGATGACCTGTGGGTCATTATCAAACATTTTAGCATACATGTATATTTTAGAGAACCAGGAAAGCTACTGGGGGTGGGGAGGTGGACTGGGGGGAGGCATGGGACAAGCAGGAGTAAGCAGGAAAAGCAACTGATGATATAACTGATGAAAAATTTTCAAATTTAATGAAAACTATGAATTCACAGATCCAAGAAGCTTACTGAATCTGAGAGAGAATAAATAAAACCATACTAAGGACTCTCATCATCAAACTGTTTAAAAGCAGTGATAAAGATATAATCTTAAAAGTAGCCAGATGGAAAAAAAGACAGTAATTTATAAGTAGTGGAATAAAGGTAAGAGTGAGGCTGATTTATTGTCACAAATAGTCCAAACCAGAAGATAATGGAACAACATCTTTAAAATCTCAACACACTGAATTCTGTTTAGAGAAAATAGCCTATGTTCCAACCAGTCAGAATAGAAAAACCTTGTAACACATAAGAGAGAAAAAAAGTACCAAAGACGAGATTGGTAACTGAAGATATTAGGATCTATCCAGATGAAACACAGAAAAAGGACTGAACAAAAAAGGATACTGCATTTGGATGCTGTGATAGAACACGAGTGGAGTCCCAGTGGTAAAGAGGGGAGAGGGATGATAAAAGAAATAATGGTTGAAATATTTTCCAAATTTGATGTAAGCTATACAGTCACAGATCCAAGAAGCTCAACCAACCCTAAGCATAAGAAAGATGATGAAAACTATAACAAGGCATATCATCATCAAATTGCATAAACTAATGATAAACAAAGACTTAAAAGCAGCCAGAGGAAAAAAGAGATTACGAGTGAAAAAGATAATAATGACTAGAAACTTACCAGAAAAATGACAGTGAAAGAAATCCTGAAACTCTATAGCAAGCAAAAATGTCTTTCAAAAGTGAAGGCAAAATAAGTCATTTTCAGACCAAAAAAAAAGACAATACAGCAAATTAAGAAACAAACCCAGAACACTTACAAATACGTCATTTGAATTTCAAAATTTTTTTCCTTCTCTATACTGACTTTAGAGTTTATGGCCTAGGATCACTGAGAAATTGGGAGGAAAAAACTATGAATCATCTTGGACATACATTCTCATTTAAAGTGAAAATTGTATTATGTGTTGGGTCTTCTCTGATTTTGTTAGAGTGTAATTTTAATAAAAAGGGGAGGGTCCATGTTCCCTGCCCCACCTAATGAGGGGTGGAACTGAACAGGGAGAAAGAGACCTGGAAGGAGAGTTGGAGGAGGCATGTAGAGCACAGATGTGAGAAGTCACACTTGCTTCTCAGTTTTGGAGTTACACCAGGGACTGGGGGGATGTACAAGAACACATATGTTGGAAGAGACCTGGGTGAGAGACCACGGGTAAGGTGAAGTGGCACCTTGATTTGTGCTCTTATTCCACTCCTTTCATTTCAAACTTGCCTCGCCCCTTCTGCCCCTTTCCTATGGTTCCCTGCCAGGAGGTGCCTTGACTTCTGGCAAGATTTTGGGCCTGTTTGGCAGGGCATTTACCCACAAGAGGATGGGTAACTTGGGTGTTTTATTGAAAAACCTTCTCTTCTCTCTTTCTATGCACACTCTCCTATTAAAGTTCTTTCGCACTAAGAGAATGTTTTGTGTTCATGCGGCCGATAGGAGAACCCATTTTGAGTGTGCAAGTTTGAGGGTCCTGGGGTGACCCTCATTCTGCCCTCTAACAGTTTGACATACCTAAACAAAAAAATCTGTGATGGAATCTTTGTAATTATGGCTAATGTATATAAATTCTTACGGCTTTCTACTTCAAACAATTTATTTTCACCTTGAAGGGAAAAAAAAGATTCTTAATTTTTGCTAAATCATCTTTTTTATACTTTTCATTCAGATATAAGCCCATACTAGCCCATACTCTCCCTTACTCTAATAAAATTCATGAAAAGTAAAATCTATTTATAGATTCAAGATATTCTGTTTTTATTCTCAAGGTCCATTAATAAGGTTATTAGATATTATATTCTTTGAATCTTAAGACATTTAACCAGACTATTGCAGATTTCATAATTTCTGAGACCTACACTTTAAATTACCTTGAATATGTTGGAAGTAGCCAATATTTCTTTTCATCACCAAAAACTTGTCTCCAATTTTTACTGTATCCAAGAGAGAAACCATTTCCATCAGGTCCATATGAAAATGTGGGTGCACGGAATGATTCTGTCAAATAGATATTTTTTTTAAATGTTAATCTACTGAAAATTATAGAAGGGAAGAAAAGAACCATTTTTTTTTTTGCTTTTATCTTTGACATCAAAAGTTATAATTCACAATAATATATTTAACAATCAAAAGATAAATTTCTGAAACTTATTTGGAAAAAAACCCACCTGAATATTTCATTGGCCTCATGAAATGAAAATGTTAAAATAGTTAATATTAAGGAAAATCCACTGCAGTAGATACAATGTACCTTGCTTTATTTTTAAAATAAAGCTATTCTAACTATTGCCACTTCACTCATTATTTATTTACTTCATACTGTGTGTTTGCTATCACAGAACCAATTGCTGTGATCTAAAGATAGATGAAATTCCTACCAAAGAACTCACAGTCTAAAAAAGTCTAACAAAATTATGTGATAGAAAAATGTGTATGTTGGAGATGGTATAGAGGAAGATGAAATATGGAGGAAGAGATACTTAATCTTGAGTACAGATATGAAGGAAATGGGGTGAAAGAACATTATTTCAAGGTCGCTTGTAAAGTGAAGGCTAGGGAAAGATACAAGTTTCAAAAGAAAAATTTTAAAAAGTTATTTAAAAATAGAATGATTTCAGCATATTTTATAAATTAAGAGCAAGAAGAAGCAGGGGGAGATTGATTAGAAAAGGTCAACGATATAGATAAAATAAAAGTGGATTAAAAAGAATTCTAGAAGAAATAGGACTTCTCTAGATTAATTCTAAAGATTAACCTTCTATAATAAAGGAAAGCTTGTTCTCAGAAGTTAGAGGGGGGGTGTGACAATGATAGACTCAAAAGTAGACCTGTTTGTATGAGGTTACAGAGATGGTAAGAACTTACTTGTGATGAGTTCTAATTTTTCTATGAAGTACTCACAAAATGGGTTAGAAAATTAAGGAGAATAGTACAAATCTGGAAAACCTGTTATGGGCAATAAGCTTACAAACCTGATCGGAAACACATGACAAAGCTGCCACATAGAATTGAAGGCTTAACTGAGGTTAAGACTTTGAATCTCAAGTTGTAACAATCTCTGTGGGAGTGAGATCACCTTTAGCAGCTTCCTAAAGTCCCAATGTACATTAGATAAAATGGAGAGCTGTAATAACCCAGGTCATGGGTTAGTAAATGAATTATGAAAGAAAACCTAGTTAAGGTCTGGTTGCAGGTCTAGAATGAAAAAAGAGGACATACGGAACCACAAGGGAAGGAAACACTTGGGGAGAATTTTGCTGAGGAAAGGGAAGACTGATTCACTGACCTGAAAAAGGAAGAACATGGCGTATAAAGAAAGGAGCACTGAAAGGATAAAGACTGTAGTCAGAGAATGGAAAACCCAAGTAGAAAATTTCAGAGTCTATTCAATTCCAAGTGATTAAAGGCTCAATGTTTGGTTATAGAAATAACTGACCACTGGAATCTAAGAGACTTAGCTGCCTTGAGAATGATATCAGAATTAAAGCATTAGTCTGAACACAGAAATGATTTAAATGTGGGATAATGAGGTAACTAGGTAACAGTTATCAAGAAGGGTAGAGCTGATACTCCTTCCAAGGATAGAAGAGCAAAAATGTGGAAGCCGCAGTGGAATATTAGCCAAGAACCAGAGTGTATGTGGAAGCTGAGAGGATTTAAAGGAAGTGGTGTGCTAGGGTAATGTTTTCTCAAAGTATGAGTTAAAACACTCTAATAAGTTGTAAAATTAATTCATTGGGTTGCAATGCAACTCTTTTCAATTAACTGGATGAAAAAATATTCAAGTACACTGCAGACAGCAAAGATATATTTTGAGAAATATTTACCTATTTTATTTATACAATTTTATAAATATGTGTGCATGCACTCATATAAACATGCATATAAACTGATGAATTTCATATATATATATATATATATATATGCATGTATATAAACATGTGATATAAACTGATGAATTTCTTATTGTAGTTCTTGGCAACAAAGTGTGAAAAAGATTGTTTAAAGACAACACTGAGTTACCCAGGGATTACTCATGAAGCAGCTTGGTGAGAATTATGGCAAATAAAACAAAAATAAAACAAAAATAATCAAATACTTGGGAATAAACCTAGCAAAAGAGGTAAAGGACCTAAACAAAGAAAACTATAAAACACTGTTTAAAGAAATAGAAGATGACACAAAGAAATGGAAAGACATCCCCTGCTCATGGATTGGAAGAATTAACATTATCAAAATGTCCATCCTACCAAAAGCAATTTACAGATTCAATGCTATCCAATATAAACTTCAATGACATTCTTCAAAGAAATAGAACAATTATTGATGAAATTCATATGGAATCACCAAAAACCCCAAAGAGCCAAAGCTCTCCTGAAAAAAGAGAAGGGAATGGGGTATCACACTCCCAGACTTCAAACTATACTACAAAGCCATAATCATCAAAATGCATGGTATTGGAACAAGAACAGACACACCGACCAATGCCACTGAACAGAAAATCCAGAAATAAACCCACTGATTTATGGTCAAATAATCTTTGACAAAGGAGCAAAGAATATGCACTAGAGCAAAGAAAGTTTGTTCAATAAATGGTGCTGGGAAAACTGGGTTGCTACATGCAAAAGAATCAAGCTTGACTACTACCTCACACCATGCACAAAAACCAACTCAAAATGGATTAAAGAACTAGACATAAGACCTGAAACCATAAAATATATAGAAGGAAATATAGGTGAAATACTACATGATATGCACCTCAAAGACATCTTTACAGACACATCACCCAAAGCAGGGATAGTGAAGGCAAAGATAAACAGCTGGGACTACATCAAATTAAAGAGCTTCTGCACAGCAAAAGAGACAGTAAAAAAACAAAGAGAAACCCCACTGACTGGGAGAAAATTTTTGCACACAATACTAATGATAAAGGACTGCTCACAAAAATCTACAAAGAGCTGATGAGACAACAAAAACAAAGAAAATAATCCAGTCAAAAAATGGGCAGAAGAGCTGAAAAGAAACTTCTCCAAAGAGGAAATGCAAATGGCCAACAGGCATATGAAAAAATGTTCAACATTACTTGTAATCAGGGAAACGCACAACAAAACTACAATGAGATACCATCTTACAACAGTGAGAATGGCACATATTAAAAAAACTAGCAACAACAAATGTTGGCAAGGATGTGGAGAAAAAGGAACTCTCCTGCACTGTTGGTGGGAGCGCAAACTGGTCCAACCACTATGGAGAGCTCTGTGGTGATTCCTCAACCTACTAAAGATAGAGCTTCCATATGATCCAGCACTTCCACTCCTAGGTATTTACCCAAATGACACAGAAACAGTAATTCCAAAGGGCACCTGCATCCCTATGTTTATAGCAGCACTATTTATAATAGCTAAGCTATGGAAACAACCCAAATGCCCAACAATAGATGACTGGATCAAGAAGATGTGGTATATATACACAATGGAATATTACTCAGCAATTAAAAAGATAAACACATGCAGTTTGCAGGAACATGGATGGAGCTAGACGGGATCATGCTTAGCGAAATAAGTCAGAAAGAAAAAGAAAAATACAAGATGGTCTCACTCAAAGCAGGAATTTAGAAAACCTAAATAAGGGACCAGGAAAAAGACTAACTAATACAAAGTAAAAATCAAAACCAACAAGCAACTATAAACCAGAGACACATTATGGGGAGGGAGGGGGATGGAGAGGAAGGATTAGGGTCTATTATAATAAGGGGGAGTGCAATTGTATGGGGAATATAATTAAAATGAAAATGCATACATTGTGCAAAAATGAAAAATGATGTAAGAATTATATAAAATAGACTATTAAAAAAAAGAACAAAATAGACAACACAGTAGAGTGTGGAGGTTTGAATGAATCCTCTTTCTTAGGTACAACTATAAAAAAAATTAAAATTTGCTTACAGGAAATTCTAAAAATTCATCAAGATGGGACTTTTTTCCAAGCAAATTTTATGCTGAGGCCAGTGGTTTGCTACAGAGAAAAATCAGGGGTAGGTAAGAGATGTTTTGGCCAGAGCAGGAACTATTCAAGTCTACAGAACAGGCTAGGGACATGCCATGGAGGGTGTTGCACACTTACCAGGTGCACTGGGGGCTCTAACCTTATTGGTAAGGGGCACCTGGTGTGAATTGTAGGGCAGGAGCAGCCAGGCGGTGGCCAGTGTTCAAGGATAGGTAGTGGGTCTCTATCTCTGATCTCCCTACAAGCCTCCAATGCATAATAGCTAGGAGATGGCAAGGGAATTTAGGATCCCCAAAGCAGTGACTGGAGATTGCTCTGGAGAGAAAGAAAAGGTGGCAGAGAAAGAAAAAGAGGCAGACTTGATTATTCTGCCTGGAGCATCCCTCACTCCCTACCAGGAGTGAGACAAGAGTCTTTGGACCTCAGCTTCTCCTTCTGTTGCCAAGTTCAACAAGAGAAAAAAACCAAACATGGCTAAAACCACAGCGCCCAACCAAGGAAAAAGCAAACAAGGCAACACACATGCTTAGGGAGCAAGGAACATCTGAACCCAAGATAGAAAAGCTAAAGTAGAATATTAGTCCAGAGACATAAATAAAATGTACAAAATTGAGGCCCTAACAGATGAAGATTTCAGAAGATTGATTTAAAAATTGCTAAATGATACTGGAGGACAAACACAGAAAGGTACATGCATAACCTTAGAAAAGGAATTTAGGAACAAAAAGAATTCTTCACTAAAGTAATTGAAGATATTAAAAGAACACAAAAAGAGATGCTAAATGAATGTGAATACAGAAAGCTCATCAAATAAACGAGCAGAAGAAAGAATAATGGAAATCGAAGACACAAATGTATAACTAATCCAAGTGAAAAAGAGAGAAAGAAATAAGACAGGAAAAATGAAGAAACTTTACAAGAATGCCACACACAGAATAGGAAACACGAACTAATGGATATTCAAGAAGGTAAAGAGGGGGCAGTCGAAGAAATTACCGCTAAGAACTTCCTAAACCTAAGGAAAGAAATAAGCATGGAATAAACATGTCCAGGAAGCAAAAAGACCACACACATTTGAAATGCAAAATGACCTTTACCAAGACAAATCATTGTTAAATTATCAAAGGTCAATGAAAAAAAATATTAAAGGCTGCTGGAGAAAAAAGAATTAACAAATAAGGGCACCTTGATCAGGCTCTCCTCAGATACTCTTTTAGGCTACAAGAGAGTAGAATTTAGAATCCTTTTAAAAGACAAAATCTGTGAACCAAGAATACTCTTTTCTGCAAAATTATCACTCAAATATGAGGTGAAATAAAGGCTTTGCCAGACAAATAAAAGTTAATGGAGTTTACCACCACCAGGCCTGCCCTACAAGAAATGTTGAGATGAGTTCTTCTATAAGAGAAAACAAAACCTTGAGCAAGGTAATAACAGTAATACAGAATCAGAAGTAGAAACAAAAATAATGTGAAACAACAAAGCACTAAATGGGAGGCAGAAAAGGACACAGCCTGTATAGTTAAATAACGATGAGTATGAGATTGGAACCAAAACAAAAATACAGAACAAAAACCAAAATAAAGAGCCCAGAAGTAAACCCACATAACTATAGAAAGTATATCTTTGACAAACTACCATGACCATATAATGAAGAGAGGAAATTTCCTTTAACAAATGATGCTAGGAAACTTGAGCAGCCATATGCAAAAAATTGAAACTAGATCCCTAACTCCATACATGAAAATAAATTAAAAATGGATTATAAGACTTGAAACTACAAAATACTTAAAGAAAATATAGGTGATACTCTCCAGGACATCAACCACAGAGATGTATTTGGGAATGCAACTCCAATAGCAAGGGAAACAAAAATAAGCAAATGGGACTACATTAACTGAAAAGGTTTTCCACTGCAAAACAAACAAACACTTCTAAACCTGAAAGGCAACCAATAGACTGGGAGAAGATACCTGTACATCACACATCTGAGAAGGGGTTAATTTACAAACTTTATAAAGAACAACGACAACAAAAACATTAAAAAATGAGCAAAAGACCAAAATAGACACTTCTCCAAATAGGATAGCTCTCAATAGATGGCCCAGAGGCACATGGAAAAAATACTCTACATCATTTATTATAAAAGAAACACAAATCAAAACTATAAAAAGCTATAATGAGATATTACCCCACCCATACCAGAATGGCTTATACACACACACAAGCACACAACAAATACTGGCAAGGATATGAAGAAAAAGCACTTATCCACTGCTGATGGAAATGTAATTTGGCATAGCCTCCATGGAAAATGGTATGGATATTCCTTAAAAATAAAAATGGAAATACTATATAATCCAGCAATATGATGCTAAGTATTTACCTAACATGAAAAGATCTATGCACTCCTATATTCACAATAGCCAACTCATGAAACCAACCTAAGAAATTGTAGAATATATCCTAAATGGAATACTACTCAGCTATTGAAAAAGATGAAATAGTGTCTTTGGGACAAAATAAGTAAATCCTGAAGTAATTATGCCAAGTGAAATAAATCAGAAAGTGAAAGACAGTTTCACTCATTTGTGGAATATAAGTAACCAAAGGAAATAAACTGGCAAAGCAGTCAATATAATTCTTAGATTCTATGAAAAACACACTGGTTACAAGAGGGAACAGAGGGGAAGGGAGGAGAGACAGAAGAGATAAGAGGACAGAATACCAGCACTGAAGTTTTGGTGGAAGGTGAGTGAAGCATGTCACATACACAAGTGTGAAGCCGTACTTCCAAAATTGTATAATAATGTGACAAAATAAAAAAAATTTAAAAATTGCCTAGGCAAATGTCAAAAACAAAACACCAAAGTTCTAATATTTTAAATTAAAAATGAGCAAGAAAAGGAAGTAAATTCTTATATTAGTGCTACAATATCTGTTTACTGTCAAATGATACAAAGATGGAAATGATTAACTATGGCAAGGCCTGACTCCTTAGCTCAATCATGGAACTTATACCAATCAGCTGTGTAATCAATTGAGGGGGAAAAAGTAAAGAACCTGTATTAACTAAATGATAAACTATAATTAAGGATTAAAACGTATTTTTGTGATCTGTGAATGAACCTTATAACTTGACAATTTACTGTAACAATTTACTTTAACCATTTTTATAGATTGTTTTCAAAAAACACTGTATAAATGCAAGTAAGTTTTTTTTATTTAAAGAATTTAGTCAGAGCTCTTTTTTATAGAATGCACTATTAGAAACCTATGAAAGTCAATCTCATTTTCTTAACCTTCAAAATAATGAACCTCTACATTTTATACCCTTGTGCCTATCCAGTCATAGCTAATTTTAGTATAGACTTATTTTATTTACATTTCTCTATCATGACTACTGTCCTTCTCTAGATTTGTTATTCATGGTAATTGTCCTAAATAATTGTGATTTCTTTTAACCTTCTTACCTATTGTTGTTCTATTTTTCCCAACTAGCCAGCAGTGGTAGCTGAAAAGTGACAGGACGCTGATGAAGAACATGGTAGACACAAAGAAAAGAAAAAGTACGTGGAATTTTGCACGTGTATCTGCGAGTTCATTCTGAGGAAAGAAAAAAAGAAGAGTTAATTTTGAGGACAGTCAACCTCTGAAATATACTCTTATTATTAACAGTCTTCCTAAAGACTGTTGAATCCATAAAACAAACAAACAAACAAACAAACAAACAAAAAAAACAAAACTGGCAGATATGAAGAAGAAAATGGATTATATATCCAAAAGCAACATCTCCGAAAGCAGAGAATTGGTAATATCAAGGGAGCTTGCTTACATAAAAGGTCAGAAAACCATTTCAAAAATGACTTTTAAACATTTAAAAATTTTAGTAATACTTTCAGTAATAAAATAAGATGAGCTCTTTGATTCAGAATTTTTCTTTTGCACTTTATGCATATATTTGTGTTCTCAAAATCTAGGCTACATGAGGTTCTCCCCACCTATGCTAAAATATTTAACTATATACGCTGTTAACTGTGATAAACTTAAATTTATGTAATTCTCTAATCTGTTTTTGAAAATACCATTACAAACATGCCCATGCCTTCAGCTGCTTCAATTCTCACCTTTTTTTTTTTTAATCGTTGGTCCATTTCTACAGAGCCTTTTTAGGTAATTAGCAATTTTTTTTCAAATTTACCAAAAGGAATTAGTGACTGAAAGAGCTTTTTTTGTTACCCATTCTTATGGCTATTCACTTTAATAGAAGTCAACCTAGGAGAAATTAGTATATTTTATTAGGAGGAGGAAGAAACTTTTAAATGTTAGCTCTTAAAATAAACTGTAGGAGGCAAATCACTACTCCAACAGAACATGAGGTTGTCCAGCTTGATTTGTTTATAAGCTAAAAGGAAGGTTTTTAGCATTAGATTATTCTAATATGTAACTTTTTCTCTTCTCTCCCAGAATAATGACAATACCCTTAAATACAAGTGGTTCTTCTATATCTTCAACTCATAATGCCAATGAGTATTATATTCACAATAAATGTCATAAAAGAATGATGAGAATGTCATGGCAATAATGTATTTTACCTTTGGACAAATCTCTGTAGATTTCCTGCGGCAAAGCTTGTACAAATAGAGACAATGCATTAAGAAACCATTTTATACAAAATTATATTTTTATATTTTGTGAGTGTATATATATATATATATGCGTGTATAAAACACTAGTTTTATAAATCTTTTTATGTTTTGAAGGAAACCTAAGATGTTGTTCTCTAAAGGTTACTGACAACATTTCTCAAAAAACACCACAGGGAAAACAGACAAGCACATTTCAGGTAGACTTCAAAAACACACATTTCCACCCAGCTTTTCAAAGAGAGATTTAAGACCAAAATTAAATTTTTTTTTAGCAAGCAGCTTTAATAAAGAAAGTTCTGCTTAGCAGTTTCTAAAATCAAGGTCTATAATAAAAATATAGACAAAAAGAATAAAAATGACTTGCTACTGCAACAACCTTCTAGGAGGTGTTGTCACTGTCCCTCTCTGGTCTACAATCATGTATTAATAGATGGGAGTAAGTCTGGAGAAATGTGTCTTCAGAGGATTTTATCTGTGTAAATGTCATAATATAGGCTTACAGAAAACTAGATGGCATAGTCTACTATACAATAGTATTGTAGGTAGAAATGGTACAGCTCATCAAGATAACTGACAGCCATCATATGTGTGGTCCATTGTTGACTGAAACATCATCAAGAGACTCTTGACCGTAGGTAATTCAGCTCAGCAGTCAAAGTGATCCTTTACAGTGAGATCATACCACTCCTCGGTCACAGCACACTCTAAGGCTCTTTTATCATTTGGGTCCACCTACTGTACTTCCCGTTACTCTTACTCATTCTATTCAGTCACACAAGCTGTCTCATTGTTACTCAAACAAAGCAGGGAGGGACACTCTTACTTTGAGCCTTTGCACTGAAGTTTAGATGTTTACTTTGCCTGAAATATTCTTTTTCAGATGGCCACACACTCCCTTCATGTCTATCCAAATCTTACCTTCTTACTGAGGTCTACCTTGAACACCCTTTTTAAAAGAATGAGATGCAATTTACACGCAATATTAATTTCAGGTATACAACATCATGACACATGCTCTTTCTCTAATGTAAAATGATCACAAATCTACTTACAATCCATCAAAACACATACACATAGCTACAAATTCTTTTTTCTTGTGTTGAGAGATCTTTTAAGATTTACTCTCAGTGACTTTCACATATTCTTACTAACCACAATCACCATGCTGTTATGTTACATCCCAGGACTTATTTTGACAACTTTCACTTACTTGCCCATGCCCCACTCTCTGCCTCTGTATCTGTACCTTTTATTCTATTTCTTTTAGATTCCACAAACATGAGCCCTTGTGTTATCTTTCTGTTTGACTTATTTCACTTAGTATAATGCCCTCAAGGTCCATTCATATTACAAATGGCATAATTTCTTTCTCTTTTAATGGCTGAACAATGTTCCACAATGCTCTATATCCATTCATCTATTGATGGCCATTGAGGTTGTTTCCACATCTTAGCTATTAAAAATAATGCAGTACTGTGGGTACTTAAGAGTGGAATTGCTGAGTCATATGACAGATCCATTTTATTTTATATATTTTTTTAAAGATTTTATTTATGCAAGAGCTGGGGTACAGGCTAGATGTGAGGAGGGTGAGAGGATTCACCAGAGACAGAATGGGGAACAGAACAGGCAGACTGATGAAACACACTGCTGAGGGGAGCAACGGGGGAGACAGGAGAGGTCTGCATACCATGTGGGGATCTCCCTGGACAGAAATCAAACAGGCGCCACGAAGGCTGCGGACAGCTTCACAGTGCTACGCTCAACTGCCTGCGCCACCAGGGAGGCCCTCCATTTTATTTTCTGAGAAACCTCCATACTGCTTTCCATACTGACTAGACCAGTCTAACAGTGTAAGAGGGTTCCTTGTCCCCACACCCTCATCAACTGGCCCTTTGATTATCTCATTGTGATTTTGACTTGCATTTCCTTGCTGCATGATTCATGCTTGTGCATGACGATGAACATATTTTCATGTGCCTGTTTTTGATTGGGTTGTTTTAATTTTGTTGAGCTGTATGAGTTCTTTGTAGATATTTGGTATCAGTCCTTTGTGGGATATAGTGTGCCTATATTTTCTCCCAGTTAGTGGGGTGTCTCTTTTAGTTATGGTCTCTTTCACTGTGCAGAGCCTTCTAGCTTGATGTAGTTCCAGTTGTTTATATTCTAGTTTCTTTATCACTAAAGTTTATGTCATAGAGTATTTTGCCTATATTTTATATTTTTATAATTTTTTTAAATTTATATCTTTTTTAAAGATTTATTTATTTATTTATACAAGCACTGGGTACAGTCAGAAGCACAGGAGGGTGAGAGAATTCACCAGAGCCAGAGTGGGGAAAAGAACAGGCAGACAGATGAAGTACACTGCTGAGGGGAGCAGCGGGAGCGGCAGGAGAGGTCTGAGTGCCATGTGGGACCCTCATCGGCTGGCTGGGGATTGAACCAGCAATGCAGAGGCTGTGGGTAGCTTTGCAGCCCAGTGCTCAACCACTGCACCACCTGGGAGGCCCTTTTAATTTACATCTTTTACATTATTGTGTATTTCCTGTAAAAATCCTACCACCAGTTCACCCATGAACCATCACCACAGTCCCATCTCTCCCTGTTCCCTTTCCTCCCCCTCCCTTGCAGAACGCCTCTTATTTATGGTTGCCTATTAGTTTTATTATTATTATTATTATTATTATTGTTATTCTTTTTTCCAAAGCCATTATTTGGTTCTCCTACATTCCTCCTATAAGTGAATCCCTTTGATATTTTTCTTTTTCCTTCTGGCTTATTTCACTGAGCATGCTCCCTTCAAGCACTATCCATGTTGCTGCAAATAGCATGAGTTTATCTTCTTTGATTGCTAAATAGTATTCCATTATGTATATATACCACATCTTGATCCAGTCATCTATTTTTGGGCACTTGGGTTGTTTCCATATCTTACCTATTGTGAATAGTGCTACAATAAACATACGGGTGCAGGTATCTTTTTGAATTAATGTTTCAGTGTCCTTTGGGTAGATTCCTAGGAGTGGGATTGCTGGGTAGCTCCATTTTTGGTAAACAGAGGGACCTCCACGCAGCTTTCCATAGTGGTTGGACCAGTTTGCATTCACACCAGCAGTGTAGGACAGTTCCTTTTTCTTTTTTCTAAATTTTTATTCATTTATACCAGCACTGGGGTACAGGCCAGAGGCACGGGAGGGTGAGAGAATCCACCAGAGACCGAGTGGGAAGCATAGCAGACAGAAGGACCAAAATACACTGCTAAGGGGAGCAGCAGGTGAGACAGGAGAGGTCTGCGGCGCCATGTGGGAGTCTCTCTGGACTGAAATCGAACAGGCGCCATGAAGGCTGCAGACAGCTTCACAGTGCTGCGCTCAACCCACTGCACCACCGGGGAAGCCCAAGATTTTATTTTTCTTCACATTCTCACCAAACTTTGTTGTTGCCCGTTTATTCAGTGTGTGCCATTCTCATGGTGTAAGGTGGTATATCATTGTGGTTTTGATTTGCATTTCCCTGGTTATAAGGCATGTGAACATTTTTTCATGTCTGTTGGCCACTTGAATTTCCTCTTTGGAGAAGTGTCCTTTTAGCTCTTCTGCCCATTTTTTCACTAGATTGTTTACTTTGTTTTTGTTGAGTTGTGTGAGCTCTTCGTAGAGATTTGTGATCAGCCCCTTATCAGTTCTATTGTGTGCAAAAATTTTCTCCCAATCAGTAGAGTGTCTCTTTGTTTTGCTGTCTCTTCTGCTGTACAGAAGCTTTTTAGTTTGATGTAATCCCAGTTGTTTATCTTTTCCTTCACTTTCTTTGCTTTGGGTGATGTATCTTTAAAGATGTTACTGAGATGTATATCATGTAGTGTTTTGCCTATATTTTCTTCTATATATTTTATGGTTTCAGGTCTTACATTCAGGCCTTTTATCTATTTTGAGTTGGTTTTTGTGTATGGTATGA